TCTCTCTCCCTCTTCAGCCCTCCCTTCCATTCTCTCAAAAAAATCAATGAAAAAATATCCTTGGGTGAGGATTAACAATAAAAAAGTTACCATACAGGCAACAATCTAGAGGTTTGAAAATACACTTTCGATGAGGCCATGGGGAAACTGAAACTCTCATATATTGCTGATGGGAGGGTAAAGTGCTACAATTAGAGTGGAGAGCAATTTGGCTATATCTATCAAAATTACAAATGCATTTGACCTGGCAATTCCACTTATAGGAATTTATCCTATAAACATGCTAATATATGTAAACGAGACTCATAAAAGTATGTTTATTGTTTGTAATAGCAAAAGATTGGAAACAACTCAAGTGCCCATCAATAGGGAGCTGTTGAATAAATGGGACTCATCCACAGGAAGGGATGCTATGAAAGTGAGGAGGGAGCTCTGTGTTGAGCAGGCAAAAAGCAAGGTGCTGAATGAAGTGCGAGTGAAAAAAACAAGGTGAGGAACAGTGTAGTGTGTATGATGGGCTGGCACTTGTGTAAATGTGTCACAGGGAATATGACAGTTTGTATTTGTTGGAACACATAAAAAATAAACTGCTGTGATATACAGACTGCCATGAGCAGTGATCATGGGGCAGGAGCCTGGATAAGGGACGAAGGTGGAAGAAAAACTTTTCAATGTATTGCTTTTTAAAAACAGAGTTAAAACACCACTACAAACAGCAAGAGGATTTTTTGACTTGTTAAAAATTAACAGATTATGCATGCAAGAGAACAGAGTGGAGCGCGTCAAATGTTAACCTATCTCTAGGTTCTTGGAGTAGGGGACATTATTTTCTTCTTTTTCCAAAATTTCTGAAATTAACAGGTATACTTCTGGAATAATAATGTAATCCAAGAAATACTTTCAATGTCAAAAAAATAATGAAGGTCATGGAATGCCCTTGAATTCTACAAACCCTCTTCCCTGAGTAAACTGTCTCGAGGGCCCTTCTATCATCTCAGCCTTTCTGGACATTTAACCTCTTAGATTTAAGCTCTAATCTCTTTAAACTCTCCTGAGGAGGAGTCTTTTGGCCAATTCTTTACCAGCATTATCATAAAAAACTCACTGACTTCTTCCTTAGTAGTAGAATCCGATTTTTCGCAGGCCCATTATTAAGTAGCTAAAAGAGTTCATTCTCCAGTCTTCCTTGCAGCTGGGCATGGCTATGCAACTGCATTCTGGGCAATGAGATGTAAGTAGAAGGGGACTAGGATTTTCAGAGGTCTTCTTTTTTAAAAGGGAAGGAGAAGCTTTCCTCCTTTCTCTGTTCTGATGCCTGGGGCATGGAAGTGACAGCTGGAGCTCCAGCAGCCATGGTGAAAGCAGGGCTACTCTAGACATGCTGGAGCAGAGAGCTGGAGGGAACCTTGGTCTGGGGTGACTGGCAGAGCCACCATCGCCATAGCCTGTACAGACTAAATCAGGACCTTAAACGACAATACAAATACAGATATGTTTACACCATTATTTTTCAGCTCTCTGTTACTTGCAACTGAATGAAATTCTGATGCAAATCACCAGGGGAATATAAAGAAATAAAAGGCCATTTCTTCCATCCAGAACCTTACAGTTATTTATTAGCCTATATAGAAAAGACCACTTGTGTAGAATAACTTTGAATAGAATCACAGAGAAATAGACCTAAGCTGTCACATTTAAGAGAAGAGAGAGTATGCCCTCCAACCTACAAAAGACAACAAAAAAGTAGTTCCTCTCCACTGGAAACACCTTCTTTGAGAAGGGAGTGACAATCCTGAAGGAAGCTCAGACACAGGAATAAGGTGGTTGTGTAATCCAGCTAAAACATTGCACTCTGCACCTCCTCCGTGCAGGGGACAGTGCACTGGGGCCACAGCACTGTTCTCAGTGCTCCAGATGGGGTAGGCAGTTAGATAGACATGAGCAGAGCAAGGACGATGGACCAGGTACAGGAGGTCACCAGGGCAGGAAGCCCCGTGTGGCCTACCAATGGGCAAAACTGGGAAAATAAGGACCTCCCTTGCCCCCAGGGTGACCTTTCCTCCCCTAGCATATCGCTGGTCATGCGGTTCAGATCCTCCCCTCCCCTTTCCTCTCCTGGCATGCCGCTAGTCATGTGGTAGACCCCCTTAGAGGAGAAGCAAGGGGCCGGAGAGTGGCCTCACGTGACTCCCACGCAGGCCTTTACATGACCACTCCTGTATGCAGTAAGCCCCCAGGACAATGAGGTTCTCACCTGTATCAAATACATCTAGGCCTCAGTTGTGTTTCGGCTCCAGGCCCAGAAAAGCAGCAAAACCAGACAATCGACCCCATGGCTGACATCAGTACCAGCTGCATTAACTAATGACCCCCTGCCCTGGTGCCAACCAATCAGTGGAGACCACATCCTGGAGAGCTGATGAATATTCTATTGAGACCCTCCCCTAAAATCCCAGCCCTTAAAAGTCTTAGGACAGAGGCCCCAGCGTACCCTCCCTCTCAGGAGCACACCGCACCTTTCCAGCCCCCTTCTCTTCCCACCAGGCACGTTACCTTTACTCCTCTCTCTTAAGTGCTAAGGGCCCTTCTTTTGCCTCTGTAACCTCTGTAACTTGTTTCCTGAGCCTGTTTCTTCCACCTCTGTGACTTTCTCAATAAACTTTCTCTTATAGCTTGAGTCTTGTCTCTGAAATCTTTCTTAGCCAGAACTCAAATTCTCATTTCTTACATTTCTGGGCTGCATTCCCTCTACTTATCTTTTCATATAACAGCCACCTGAAGCATCATTTTCCATAGAGATATGTAGTTATTACGCTACTGTCTCTCACTTTTGCCTCTGCCCTTATATACTCAGTTCTCTGATGCTGGGCTGAGGCTCTGCAAACATTTGTGCTTTGAAATCTGGTACCTGAGACTCTGCCAGTAGGGGCACTAGGGGGAGACTGGAAGGCAGGAAGAGCAGGAGGGAACTTGCTTCT